GGAGCCGCTGCTGGGAGAGCTGCACTTAGGGGATGAGGAGGAGAGGGATGGGGGGAGCAGCCGGGGCTGTTGGGCTGTACAGAGCTGGGACACCCCGCTGCGAGTTTCAGGGGAGCTCGGGGGACAAGCTGGGGGAAGAGAAACTTTTTTAAGGGCTGGTAGATCCAAACAGGGTTGGTGGTGAATTGGTGGGGGAGTACTATGAGCTCTGCTCATGTCTCCCCCCATCAGCATCTGCTCTCTGGCTCTGATGGAGATGGACAGCAGGGGTGGAGCACCCAGAGCCCAGCTCAGCACCCGTGGGACACCTGTTTCCTAAACCCTTTGGACACCCTCACCCAGGAGGAGCCACCAGCACCGTTGGGCTGTGGCACCCCGAGGCACCCCAGCTGAACATTGCTCCCCATAGGCTGCAGTTTCTTGATGTGCAGGTCACATGTTGGCTGCAGTATAAATAATATCGATGGGTCTGGCATGACCGTATCCTGGTTTCCATTGGATTCACCTCTGCGATGACCACTTTCAAGCAATTTGGCCAAGTCCAGCATGAGAGCTCATCGTTTTACTAGACATCAAAGAAACACCACAGGAGAGGTCGTGGGCTGGTGGATGGCTTGGCTGTACGGCACTGGACTTGTGGAGCAGAGCTGGTGCCCGCTGCTGGCATGCTGCCTGGCTGCCTCAAGCAGTGGGATGCTGGTGGAGGGTCCTCTCTTGGCCGAGGGGGTGGAGCCATCAAAACTGCCTTCCCTTCTTCACAACACCTAGGGCTACCCAGGAGAAACTGGTGAAGATGGGGCCATGCAGGTTTGGGAGGGGGTTGGGGGGTCACCCAGCTTCTTCAGGTCCTAATAAAGATGGGCAAGAGATTGGGACAGGACTGGGGACTCCAGGATGGTCACAGACTTATCCCTCCCCAAGACAGGGTCTGTCCCTGGCATGGAGAAGCCAGGGAGGTGGTGGAGCTGTGGTATGTCCTGGTGTCACCAACCGCTTGAGATGCACTTACCCACCTTGGAGCTCTGGGCACTATAAAAGGACCTCAGCATCGGGGTCCCAGAACTGGAAGGATGTGTCGGGGACACAACTGACCCACCCCAGGGCTCTGGGGGCTGCAAGGGGACCCCAGGACCGCGCTGAGGACCCTGGATCTGGGGAAGAGGCAGGCAGGGAGCCCCACGGCCGGCAGCATGGGTGGCTTGGAGGGATGGCACAGGCAGGACGATGCCGAGCAGTGAGATGAAGATGGCCTGGGCGATGCCGGCAGCGAGGGGACCACCGTGCCCACGGGCCGGCCCTGCGGCTCGGGGAGC